TAAAAAAACGTTCTGTTAAAATAGAAAAAAATAGTGATGTGGATGAATTTCTGTCAAAATTTCCTTTCCAATAGTATACATGCAGAACATGTGATTTCACACTGTTTTTTTTTTTTTCATAGTAAGGCTGAGAAATGTCGTTACAAATTCTCAAAACAAACGTGCTGAGTTGCGCTCATTAAATCTTTTGTTGCGCTAAGGTCTTGTTCCTATCGCCGTTGTATCTTTCTTAAAATAGACCCTATCATTTCCTTGGGCTCTTTAAAGGTCTTTAAGTCATCGAACATGTGAAAAATGAGCCTCTGATCATAAATAAAACTACTGGCAATACAATTTTCATTTCCGATGGTTTTGACAGTGTTAAATACAGGCGGTTTTGCCTTTCTCGGCATCGCGGTTTTAACTTAAGTGATAAGACAATTATTTTCACTCTTAGTGAACAACATGAAAAAGATCTGGATAACTTTTGAGTTTCTCATAAAGTAGATGATGAAAATAGAAAAATGTGAGCTGATAAAATAAGATCAGCTGTTTGGACGTATGTTAACAGGAATTGACCTTTGATCGAGAATACAAGGGAATAAAAAACAATGAAATCCCACCTTCTTTCCCAGATGTAGTGTTGAAATTTATGGCGCGACCTTGTTAATCCGCATAACCTGCCTGTAAGCCTTCATTACTACCCCGCGGCACGCGTGCTAACTTTTTTTCCTCTACAAAGTTTGAAGCCTTGAAGCCAGGGACTGGCTCTCACAATTATCAGCACCAGACTTCTTCGTATACCTCTCGATGGCTCACTTTGCTAAAGACCTCAAATTTATTCGCTGGTGATCAAGAAGAAATGATGATGAAGCAGCACTATCAATTGGGGCTGCTAACTTGGTATGGCTCACTTTGCTAAAGGCCTCAAATTCATTCGCTGGTGATCATGAAGAAATGATTATGATGCAGCACTATCAATTGGGGCTGCTAACTTGGTATGATCACGGGAGGAGTGATATGTCATTCTCCTGACTCCTAGATTTGCCGATGAAGCAGATAACTGACCTCCAGGCTGATAACTACAGTTATTTTAACGGCTGCAAGAGAAAACAGACGAAGAAGTTTCTCTTCGCCACTATAACTATTTTGTTTTGTAACCATAGCAGCGACATATTAAGGACTTCTATGAAGGACAGCTGAATCGATTAAGTTTCACAATCAATCAGGAAAATTGCGGGAAATCAGGGGCTGCTAACTTGGTATGATCACGGGAGAAGTGACATGTTATTCTCCTGACTCCTAGATTCGCCGATGAAGCAAACAATATGATGCGGTATAGCGGAAATGCTGACTACGAGTTGTAGTCATAACCGCTTATGGAATTTCTTAGTCCGGTGTTAGAATACTCCAGCTATTATCCCAAACCTTTATCCATATCAATATGATTCATTTCTCGAATATGTTGTTACAAAGGAGATCGACGTCAGTTTTGATTCGTCTAGTACGTATGAAAGCGAGAATTTTAAACGTAATGATTTTAGGGGTATCATCTCATTTAGAAAGAAAGCGATTTTAAAGTTTCCAGATGCGTAAATTAATTGAATCTGTCTTGCTGGCTTATTAAAACTACATCAAACTATACTCTTATCTATGGGTCACCTTAATCCATACTGAACCGTGCGGTCCTAGCCTCACGCTGTATATTCTTTTTGTTGTTGTTGTATTCTGTAGAAATTGCCGTCGACATTGCTTTTGTAATCGGAGCGTCTGGAGCTCAAGCGTCTTCAGTCTTTGCAAGAATGGTAGCCATCTTGAAGAACTTTGCTAATGAATATGAGATATCCGATGACAAAACTCGTGTT